GTGTCCAGACAGTCCTGATTATACTAATGATGACAGAAGACAGGAGAGTTAAAAGAGCTTTGGGGCAAAACTGTAAATTAATATTAATGTCCATTCTGTGTGACTGTAAACTGTATTTTTTTTAATTTTCTGATATGGATAGAAGAGGATGCATTTGACAAATCAAAGACCACAAATCATGTACCTGAGGCCATGTTAGTCTTCTCCAGTGATACCACACCTGGTTGCCACTGGGATTGTTGTTATTTGGTTGAGCTTGTGGCAGTCCACTGTCAACCCTCAGAATCCAGCCAGTTTCTGCAGGAGCCAGAGTGGCCAATGAGATGGAGAGACAATGCAGACCACCATTACTGCATCCTTTAGATCCTTAAAGGTGGCACTAATCTTGGCTATACTCCCAGGATATAAAATTGATGCTGATTTACTGCCTTTGCTGAGTGAAAGGTAGTGTTATGGGTTGAATTGTGGCCACCTGAGATTCATATGTTGAAGTCCTAACTCCCAAAACCTCAGAATGTCACCTTATGTGGAAATAGGGTTGTTGCAGATGGACTTAGTTAAGATGAAGTCATACTGGAGTAGGGTGGGCCCCTAAGCCAATATAACTGATGTCCTTATGAAAAAGGGAAGTTTGGAGACACACACAAAGGGAGAAGGCCATGTGAAGATGAAAGCGAAGATTGGGGTGATGTTTCTACAAGCCAAGGAAGGCCAAAGATGGCCAGCAAACCAGCAAAAGCTAGGAAGGGGCACAAACAGATTCTCTCTCACAGCCTCGGAAGGAACCTACCCTGCAAACACCTGACTTTGGACTTCTGGCTTTCAGAACTGTGAGATAACTTTCTGTTACTTCAGCCACCCAGTTTGTGGTTCTTTGCTAGAGCAGCCCCAGGAAATGCACACAGGCAGTTCCAGAGGTTTCCACTTAGTCTTCCCCACTATCATAGCTCTTACCCCACAGGCCAAGGAACCAATACAGAAGTTGCACCAACTGTCCATTATCTCAACCTCAATTATACATTCAAAGACTGGCAAAATGACCACAGGTGGAACTGTGGATTCAATGCCCCCACTGTAGACTAGACCAAGTCACACTTTAAGCTAGACTTGGGCAGGACTCCATTTATTACCAGGTCCTTATACATCCTCACTCTAACAGTGAGGCCATTATGACACTTAAAGTTTCCAGTTATCAATGTTAATTCAGACCCTGTGTCCAACAGTCCTTAAGAAATCTGTCACTCACACCACTGAGAATGGCCATCATTAAAAAGTCCACAAACAATAAATGCTGGAGAGGGTGTGGAGAAAAGGGAACCCTCCTACACTGCTGGTGGGAATATAGTTTGGTGCAGACATTATGGAAAACAGTATGGAGATTCCACAAAAAACTAAAAATAGACTTACCCTTTGATCCGGCAATCCCACTCCTCAGTATATATCTGGAGGGAACTCTAACTGGAAAAGATACATGCACCCCAATGTTCATAGCAGCACTATATACAATAGCCAAGACATGGAAGCAACCTAAATGTCCATCAACAAATGACTGGATAAAGAAGTTGTGTTATGTTTATACAATGGAATACTATTCAGCCATTAAAAATAATGAAATAATGCCATTTGCAGCAACATGGGTGGACCTATCATACAAAGTGAAGTAAGCCAGACAAAGACAAATATCATATGATATCACTTATATGTAGAATCTAAAAAAATAATACAAATCAACTTACTCACAAAACAGAAACAGACTCACAGACATAGAAAACAAACTTGTGGTTACCAAAGCAGGAAGGAGAGAGGGAGGGGTAAATTAAGAGTCTGGGATTCACAGATACTACTATAAATAAAATAGAAAAATGAAAATGCCAGAACACCAGAAACTAACACAACATTGGAAATCAACTCTACTTCAATTTAAAAAAAAATTCTATATATCTCCCTTCCCCCGTGTAGTTGTCCAAAACCAGTTACAGTGGCAGGAGCTACTGTTCATCCCACTAATCTCCCTCTTCTAAGTTACCCCTCAGGAACAGGGGCCCACCAGAATTTGGGGGGAGCAGCACCCTCATCATATGTGGAGAAGGGGATCCATTTGGCACAACGGGTGGGCTGTGCAGACACAAACAAGAGCCACCCAGACCCTCTTCAACCTCCTTCAGCACCTGCCTCAGCTTCACAGAGCCACCTGGCCTGAAGATACAGCCTTCCCAGCACAGCACACAAGCAGTGACTGAGGGAGGAAGGGGGGATAAAGGCCTGGCCAGCTCCACCCAACATAAGACACTCTGATGGGCAGTACTTAACTGCAATGGATTGAATGTTTGTGTCTCCCCAGAATTCATATATTGAAACCCTATGCCAACATGATGGTATTTGGAAGTGGGCCTGTGGGAGGTAAATAGGTCAAGAAGGTGGGGCCCTCAAGTGGAATCAGTGCTCTTGTAAAAGAGGCCATAGACGTAGCTGGTTCTCTTTCTGCCAGGTGAGGATACAATGAGAAGATGGCAGCCTGCAACCCCGAAGAGGACAATGACTGGGACCCAACCACGCTAGCACCTTGATCTCAGACTTCCAGCCTCCAGAACTGTGTAAAATGAATATTGTTGCTGAAGCTGCCCAGTCTATGATAACTTATTGTAGCAGCACAAACAGACTGAGACACTTACTCAAGGGTTCCCTCCTGGATTGGCTGGCTGAGGCTTTGTTAGGCTCTCAGTCACATTTCTACTTCTTCCTCTGATCATTTTCACTTCTGTCCTGTTCTTTCACAGGTGTTGGTCCTTAATAAATGTCTTGCCCCCAGCTGTCTCCAGAGAATGCACCATGTGACATGTGTTCATTCCATATTTTAGAGTATTAGTGTTATTTTTAACTGTTTGAAAATTATACTTTAACAGAGATTTTGCAGGTAGTATAGGTGTGTTCTTTTTTAATCTACTTTTTTTTACTCTTTTTGTGTGTGTGGGTTATTTATTAGGTTTATTTATTTTTTAATGGAGGTACTAGGGATTGAACCCAGGCCCTCGTACATGCTAAGCATGAGCTCTACCACTGAGTTATACCCGCCCCCTCTAAGAATCAGTTCTTTATTAAGAGCTATGTGAGGTCAATTGATGTCTTTGCTTTTATCTCAAGCAAAACTGTTATTTTCCTTTCCTTGGAAGCAGATGGAGGCATGTGTGGAGAGGGGGCTACACTAAAGAATGTAACTCTCAATAACACTCAATAACATTGTAAAATGGGTTATGTTCCTTCAGGGTCTTCCCTTCTCCCTCCTCCTTCTCCTCCATTAATCATGTGAACTCTCACTGTGACCTGGGTCCCTCGCAAACCTCCGGGACATTTTCCCCCATCAAACTCCCCTGACCACCAGAAGTGACCCATTCTTCATCATCCCTGTGGGTCACATCCCCTTAGACATGTGCTAGGTAAGTGACTCATTAATCAGGATCCACCAGGCTATTAACAGCTGCCAATAGCAACGTAAACAGTCCTGTTCCTATGCTTTTTCCAGAAGAGTATAATGCGGGGATTTTAGAGCCATGAGGGCACCAGGAGGGCAGACCATCATAAGTAGAGGCAGCCACAAATTATGGCTTCTCAGCAGCCACTTTAACATGGAAAAACAGAGAGAGATCAGAATGGGATTCTAAGAAAGGGTTAATGACAAGCACCACGCTGGGTTAGGCTCTCAGCAGCTACAGCAACCTGGGCTACTCCAGGAGCTGGAGAAATGGTGAAGGGACCTGGGAGGAAAGTGAGACTGCTCCAGCCACCTGCTTACAAAATTCTGACTCTTGTATTGAGGCAATTCCAGACAAGTAACTGATTTAAACAGACCATTTACCCAGTCTGCCTTTGTCTTGGAGAAATTAGTCAGGATAAATGACAGCATCCTGATTAAAATAAACAGGAATCATTCAGAAATCTTGACAAAAAAGAAAACAAAACTGAGTTGACTACTGAAGGCTGTGTGGATGGAGGCTTTTCTCTGTATGATGACCAATATTAGCACAACCAGAGAAAGTTATCTGAAGAATACTTTTCTCTGTGAACTATCAATCTGATCGAGAGTTTGGTTCAATTGTGTGTGCCTGTATTCACTTTTAGAGTTTGCTTTTTCCTCCCATCCTTTCCCATTTACTTTTACTTTTTGACTATGTAGCTTTCCCCACTTTCCTATAAATCACAAGAGGAAATGTTGGAAATATACACTGCAAACACAAGAGTGTGTTGTTGCCTTTAGATAAAGATTTCTGTTGTGTTTTAAAACTAGATTGCAGTACGGTTTCCTGATAAACCTGGTTCCAGGTCCTTAGTGTATTTCTGCAACTAACAGCAAAAAGAAAACCCACCTGGGGAAATATTTCATTGCAAAAGCACCAACTGCTGGAAACTTGGGTTCGCCTAAGGAGCCTTGCTCTGTGGTCCTGGGATCATAGGCCCTCCACCAGGGCAGGATTTCTGCTTAATAAAGTAACTTTTGTGAAATTTCCCTAAATCACAAATCCGACGACGCAATTTTAGCAATGGAGAGAATGAATGAATAAATGAATGGATGCATGAATTAATGAATGCAAGGAGGCAGAGGCGCCTGCTGGGCTTGGGATTGAGTTGAGGGGTGAATAGGGACCATGAGACTGCAGTTGCTCACACGAGGACAGACCCCATCACTGCTGCACTAAGAGGCAGAGCTGTAAATTCTGTTACTAGAGTACCATCTTCAGCACCTTTGACAAGTGAACAGACTAAGTCACAAAGACGGGATTCGAACCCTTTCCCCACCCCGAAAGCCCTTCTGTCATAGCCGGGAACTCTGGCTAAGCAACCATTGCGCCTGCGTCAAATCAGCGGCCAACTGGAGTTCGGGGCGCGACCGGGGTGGGGTTGCGGGGAAGGCGGGCTAATGCCCTGTGAGCACAGAAAATCCTCAGGATTGGTAAAAACTCGCATTGACCAATCAGGTCCCAAAATGAGCCTTGAGGCCCGCTCACCTCTCCGCGGATCCAATCGCTTGCTCCTGCACGCTCAAGCCGCCGATTCAAAGGTAAAGAACCTAGAAAAGAAGAGACTGAGAAGCTGCGAGTGAAGCCTGGGCAAGTTGGCGGCCTCATTCCAACAGTGGGTGCCTGCCCGGGACTCGGATGGGAACCGAGAGGATGGGTGGGGGCTGCGGACTGCCGTTCCTGCCTCCATCACGAGCTTGTGCAGAAAACCCCCTACATGGAAGGTGGTAGCGGCCCGTAGTGTCCCCTCCAACCCCACAGTGGTTTCTTCCAAAGTAAACGCCACCTACCTAGTGGTACCCTCCAGAGCTGACTGTTCCATCTGCGCCTCCCGCAGTGGTATAACCTAGGGGACGGTTCTATCATCGACTTTTCATCTCTGCATCCGGAGGCCCCCTACTGGTGTGATCAAGGAGGTTTCAATGCCAATACCCTGTGAACCGTTCCTTCTCAGCCTCCTCCCATTCTGTGGACCCTTCCATCTCTATCTCCTCCCACTCCACACCCATGTTCCCAAATGGACTGCTCCAGGCCTTGACCCTGAAGGCCTTGCAGAGAGCAAAGGCTAAGGACTACAACCCCCTGCCTTAAAGCTCCTGCCCCAGGAGTGGGCTGAGGATGTCGATCATCGGACAGCAATGTGGCAGCATCTATCAAAATAAAAAAACTGGAAATATAAAGAAGCTTTCATTCAATTGAAAAAAAAAATTGACGAAAATAAAAACTGAAAGTATCTTCCACTGGAATGTCAGCTCCACCAAAGCGGGAACATGTAGCTTTCTAGTTCCTTGAGTCTTCCCAACACCTAGAGCAGTGTCCGGCACAGAGTAGGCACTCCTTAAGTTGTTGAAGGGCTGACTCCTTAGATTCAGCAATTACACTTATAAGATTGTGTGCTAAAGAAACACACACATGTGCATATTACTGTGCGCACAAGGATGGTACAAGCGAAATACCGATAGGCTGGGGAGTGGTGCTCTCAATGACCATTTATAGCCAACGACTTGCAGAGTAAAATTAATGACTAGGGTTCATGTTACACCACACAGCACCCGCTAGATATGATACAAAATGAGTGGGACCTCTGTGTACCTGCAGGGGCAAGGGGAAGTGCCTTCTACAGGACACGCTGTTAACAGAGAAAAAGCATGTGGAACGTGTGTGTGCAGAGAAAAGTGTCCGACCCCAAAAGCCTAGTGCCCGATCCCTGCTGGAGGAGCGGAGACTGGGCTTTGTTCACCGCAGATTTGGCTCCATACCGCTCGCAGGGCTATCCCAGGGGCTTGGGGCCGACTGGCTCAGGAGCCTGGGAGAGGCTAAGCCATTCCTTTCAGCTTCATTCATTCATTCGCAAATGCTGTGAGCTGAGTGACCTTTATGACTTGGATGAAGATTCGATGAAAGCTCACCCAGACCAACAATGGGAGGACAAGAATCTCCAGATCCTAACAGTCTCTGGGGATTCAGGCCTCCTGGGGTGACCTACACAAGGCCCAGAATGAGGCCCTGGCACCAGTTGGGCACTTGCATGGCAGGGAAAGGGGGTTCCATGTCGGTTTGGGAAGGGATCCTTAGGAGCCACAGGGAAATCTTGGAGCCTCAGTAACAGGAGTACCATCCGGAATGGAGGAGGGGACAGGGATGGTAAGGGATGGAGACTTAGCCCTAGGACTAAGGCTAGAACTCTCCTAAAGGGAGCACTTTAAGAAAGATGTAACAAAATAGGCACAATAAACTTCGGAGGGTAGTGCTGTCATCACCTCCACTTCATATATGAGGAGACTGTTGCCTTTTCTTCCCCAGTATCCCTTCTTGAACTTCCATGGGCTGCACTCCTAATTCAATGCTTTAAAATGATTTCATTAGCAAGCCCTTATTAAATATTTCTTATATGTCAGGAACTGTTCAAAATTCTTTACAAATATTAACTCATGGAATATTTTTCACAACAACCTAATGAGGTAAGTAGTTTTGTTTTCTCCATTTTACAAATGTGGCACCTGAGAAACAGAGAGGTTTAGTAACCTGCCAGAGGTCACACAGCTGGGAAATCACGGAGCCAGGATTTAATCCAAAGCCATCTGGATCCAGAGTTCCAGCCTCATAAGCACATACTGCGTTGCCTTTTTGTTTTCTTTTTGTGCTTGTGTGTGTGTGTGTGTGCCTCCCTCACCAGACTGTGTGACTCCTGAGGGTTTGTGTGATGCCTGTGGGACTGCCAGGTTTCCAGCAGCAAGGACATACTTGACATTGCATGGGCCTCCCTGAGCAGATGCTGATTTGGTGGAGTAACCCGTCCCCCTTCCATCCAGGAGCGGACATCCGGAGTGCCCTCAGTGTGGCACCATGGGGAGTGAGCTTCTGTGTACCTGACCCTAAGAAGACCTTTCTGGGCAGCTGGGAGAGGCCGAAGGGCCATGACCCCATTCCGACTAGTACAGTCATCTCAAATTTTCTGTAAGATCGAATCACTCGTTTTAAGTGAAATATTTTGGAAAGATTCTATCACTGCACAAAGTTGGAAACAATGTATTGCCACAGGAGGTAACTGTAAAAATAGACAGTGAAAAATACCGTATCTTATCGATTCTAAAATGCTTTTTTTTCACATTTCAACATATCAGAAAGCAGGAATGCATCTTTCAGTCACTGAGATAAGGCAATGGGTCATAGGTTAATTAGCACCCTTTCTTTCTTGAGGCTTACTTAAAATAATGGTGTGACACAGTCTATGGCATCTGGGATTTAATGAGATATGGTAAAAAAAATTCCAAAACTTTAAATTTTAAAGAATAACTTTCTTTTAGGTAATCACAGATCTATCTCATTTGCAGTGTCCTAAGCACTTCTTTTTTCTCCCCAAATTTACTAAGACATAATTGACATGTACCATTGTATAAGTTTAAGGTGTACAACAACATAATGATTTAACATATGCATATATCGCTAAATGACCACCACAATAAGTTTAGTTAACACCCATCACCTGACATAGTTACAATTTTTCCCTTGTGATGAGAACTTTTAAGATCTAGTCTCCTTGCAACTTTCAAATATACAATACAGTATTGTTAACTAGAGATAGTAACCATGCTGTACATTAGATCCCCAGGACTTACTTACCTTATAACTGAAAGTTTTTACCTTTTGACCACCTTCACCCATTCCCTAGCCACCCTCCTCAACCCCCCACCTCTGGCAACCAGCAATCTGCTCTCTGTTTCTATGAGTTTGTTTTTTCGGATTCCACGCATAAATGAGATTATCCAGTCTTTGTCTTTCTCTGTCTGGCTTATTTCACTCAGCACAATGCCCTCAAGGTCCATCCATGTTAGTAGCAAATGGTAAGATTTCCTTCTTTTTTATGGATGATCCCAAGCCCTGCTTAGGTGCCATCTCACTTAATCCTCACTTAGGCCCCTTAGAGGAAAATCCTGTCACCCCTGTCACTGGTGAGGACACTTGGGCCCAGAGAAGGCAGGCAACTGGCTCAAGCATCTAGCTCAGGCCGGGCAGAGCACAGCCAGGTGCCAAAACCCGTGAGGACAGCAGCTGGGGTGGTCCTGGCATTCACGCAGCTCCAGACCTCTCAGGGTCTCCTACCTGTCCTCACAGACTCAGCCATGCACCCTGTCATCCCAGCTCCTGCAGGACACTCACTGCAGCTCCACCCCTCAGAAACCCTCTCCCTTCCCCCCAGCCCTGGGGGAACTGCCCTGGACTCCTGGTCTGGGTCTGGAGTTTCATCTGGACCCTGGAGAGATTTCCAGATATGCCCCAACAGGGACCTTATGCGCGACCCCTGTGTGTGGGCAGGAGACAGGTGTCCTGCAGAATGTTCTGTCCTTGCAGGGAGCAGCGAGGGCCCTGAGGGGATGCTCTGAGGCAGCGCTGGGTGCTGGGTGAGAGGAAGCGAACTGGGATGGGGGTGTAACTGAGGCCCTGTGACTAGGGCTGGGAGAGGGGGGCTAAAGAGGCCCCTGAGGTGAAAGGGGCGGCCTGGTGGCCGGTGAGGGGAGATCAGGGAACAGACATGCTGAGGTGTCTGGAAGTTCTGGTCCAGACACCTGCGCTCTTCATACTCTGCTGCCCATCTCCCCCCGGATGCCCACAGGAGACTTTCACTCTCCCTGGCTGCCTCCTGCTCATGCTCAACAACTAGGCCACTTTAATGGAGGACAGAGCTGCAGAGCTTTGTGTAAGGTGTGTTGAGGGTCATAATCCCCTGAGTTACATAGATACATAACCCCTGAATTATGAATATTAAACCACAAATGTAAGATACCATGTTCTATGTGTATGAGAGAGACAGACACACAGACAGAGACAGGCACACAGACAGAGACAGAGGGGGGAGGGAAGAGGAGAAACAGAGAGAGAATCAGACAGTCAGAGACACAGAGACAAGTGAAGCCAAACGGCCTCTCTGTAGGTTCATAAATGGTAGTGATTTGGCCACTAGCAGACCCTAAAATCCATCCTACAGTTCTAGCTCCCTGAATGGTCTATTCTAGGGGCGAGGGTATAGCTCAGTGGTAGAGCATGTGCTTAGCATGCACGAGGTCCTCATCAGAGAAATGCAAATCAAAACTACAATGAGGTATCACCTCACACCAGTCAGAATGGCCGTCATTCAAAAATCCAAAAATGACAAATGCTGGAGAGGCTGTGGAGAAAGGGGAACCCTCCTACACTGCTGGTGGGAATGCAGTTTGGTGCAGCCACTATGGAAAGCAGTGTGGAGATTCCTCAAAAGACTAGGAATAGACTTACCATATGACCCAGGAATCCCACTCCTGGGCTTGTATCCAGAAGGAAATCTACTTCAGGATTTCACCTGCACTCCAATGTTCATAGCAGCACTATTTACAATAGCCAAAACATGGAAACAGCCTAAATGTCCATCAATAGATGACTGGATAAAGCATGCACGAGGTCCTGGGTTCAATCCCCAGTACTGCTATTAAAAAGTAATGATCCATTCTAAGGAGGTCTCCCCTGATCCCTCTAGGGGTCATGGTCATAACTTGAGGCAGGGGCTAGGGGCACAGGCTGCAAACAAACCTGGAGTTCTAACCCTCAGATCTCCACTACTTCCCATCTGCATGACACTGGGCAAATCATATAACCTTGCTGGGGCTCAGACTGTCACTTGTAAAATGAGGACAGTGGCATGTATAATTCATGCAAAGCACTGGCACACGGCAAGCCTAGGGCAAACAGTAACTGTTACGATCAACACTGTCACTATTATTATTCCTGGTGGCCATTGACTGTTGCAGTATTTTTCTCCTTTGTGGGATGGGGACCTTTGCTGCTCTCAGAGGTAGGCCCCATCTGTCCACCTCTATGGACCCATTTGAGGACAGTGACAGTTACCACAAAGGTTTGGGAGCAGAAAAGGAGCTGTGATACACAGAATAATGACCCCCTCCCCCAAAGATGTCCACATTCTAATCCCCAGAACCTGTGAATGTGTCATGGCAAAAAGGACTTGGCAAGTGTGATAAGTTAAGAATCTTGAGCTGGGGAGATTATGCTGGATTATCTGGATGGCTTCTGTGTAATCACAAAGATCCTTATAAGTGAA